TACAACATGGAGCGAAGTAACTTATGTTAGGAGCGAAGTAACTTATTTGATAGACCGATCTAAATTTTGAGTGGAGCGATCTAACTTTTGGCTGGAGCAAACTATCTTGAAGCGATCTAACCAAGGCGCGATTTAACTGGACAACGAATAAGACCGATGACAAAAAAGAGCATAAAACGGCAGAGAACGCCGGAAACCACGAGTTTTATTAGTCTTACGAGTAAAATGTTTACATTTCGAAATATCTAGCATTGTAAACCGAACATATTTCTTTTCCCAATTCTATTCCCTAATAATGCATTACAATTCTCATCGGTTCCTTGCATAACTGAACACCGCTCCACACAACGCGTGACGCTTTCATGAATCAATCCTCTGCTTTCTCTCTAGACGTGAGCTTGGGACGCCTGTGCTCAAAGGACTTACAGACAGAGTATAACAAATATTATATAGACCGCCTAGCTTTGTTTGAGTGGGAGGTTGTCGACATGGCTCTCTTTTCCAAAGTGCTTCCCACTATTTGCCTGCATATGAAATGAGCGCTACTTCGACATTTAACAAGTTGACAGATATCATAGGCCTAGATAGGTATGAATGTTTCCCGTAGTAAGACGATGAAAAACGCTTACAGAACGTCCTTAATAAAACAAGTTTAGTTTATTACAATTTATGTAGAAATTATGCTTAAAATGCTTAAATATGCTTAGTAGTAGCGACCACGTCAAAGTTTCAGAGACCAAATGGCAATATCGCAAAAACCGGTGTTTACCAGGGCATGTAAGAAAAGCATGACAGGACGGATAATGCATGCACTGTAAGTACCTCCCGTTGTTCCATACAAAGCCTTAGAAAAGTTTTCTAAGGCTTTGTATGGGACAACGGGAGGTACTTACAGTCCACGCGTTTTTCCGTCCTGTCATGAAAGGAGGCAGTTTTTTGTTTGTTCTTTTCTTTTTCGATTTATGATTCTGAACTCTGGAAGTGCTTATGTCTAACGATAAAATAAAGAAACTCCAACCAATAGAAAAAATGAATGTGAATATGAAATAATTTATTGGAAGAAACACAGCTGGTCCTTGTTGTTTGAGATCATCCAACGCGCAAAGAGCCTTCCCACGCACCGATCGCTCGTCAGCGTGCGCACATCTTCCTGTTTTTTACTCTTATCCACTAGATACCATTTTGTAAATTAGATAACAGTAGCATTCTACAGTTTGCTGAGAAACAGCCCTTGCAAAAAATCTTCGATCTTGTCCAACTTTTAGCGACTCACTTGGAAATTGTCGCTCTAACCTTTTTTTGTCCTCATGTGACATCTGCTTAGTTGTATACTATTACCAATGGAAATGTCACTTCATATGGTCATGTTTATTTTTGACTCACGGATGCACGCACAATTTCCTTGTGGAGCCCTATCATTAGTTTTACTGCCTTCTAATACATGTTATGTGAACGAGTCTAACAGCTACCCAAAGGTAAGTTTATGAAGTTTATGAACAAAAGAGTTCTTAAATTATGACTTTTTTGCATCCTCTTTGAAAAAAAAAGAGATTAAAAAAAATTGTTTAATATAATACGAGTTACGACTTTTAAAGGATACAGAATTGGATCGATGTTTTGAGACTATTAGTGAGATCGTATTCCGCGCAATTCTAGTGGATGAGTACTAGTCGCAGTGTTTTTCAACGACATTACATCCAGAAGTCTTAAATGTTCGCTAATATTTATTCGTAATCGTTACCATAATTTACCATGATCAGCCTCAAATACGGCAAACCTTCAGTCCATGTATATGAACCTTTATTACGAGTCATCATACGACAAAACAATTAAATTCAAATTGTCCCAAGTAAAACGACTCTAGTTTTAAGATGAAATTTCTCCAATTGTACACAACAAGATCAATCTCAGTAAAGGGTAATTTACGCGCTGTATTGCAATCCTATATGAACTGCAGATAATTTAGTGTTAACAACTGGGTTGAAAACGTAAATTAGCCACCGTAAAGGGTAAAAAAGCTGACGTTTCGAGCGTTAGCCCCTTCGTTTTACCCTTTACGGTGGCTAATTTACGTTTTCAACCCAGTTGTTAACACTAAATTACCTGCTATACTCTCCCACCGACGCAGCACCACAGTTTCTTTAGAAACCTACCCTTTTATCTATATGAACTGCGTCTGCTTTGTTCTCCAAAGGATTATCATTGGCGTAGTATTCACCATTTGATGCGATGAATCATTCTCTACTCTAACGACCGATAACGTAGCATGGTTTTATTCTTTTTTGTGACAATTTGTCACAGCCGCGCATCAGTAATTTCAAACGAGTAGACTGGAGTGTGTCGTGTTTACCCACTAAATTCGAAATGTCAATTTTGTCGCCAGCATTCTCATGCTGAAAAATGAAAAATGTATTTTTAAAATCGAAATTGTGACATTAAGCTTATTTCCAAGAGACAAATGCCTTATCTCGCAAACGATTCACGTTTTGAATATCATTCATTCAATATGAAAAAAAATATCAAAAGTGAAAAGTGTATTTTTAAAATAGAAATTGTGATAAGCTTATGGCTTATTTCCAAGAGACAAATGCCTTATCTCGCTAACGATTTACGTTTTGGATATTATTCCTTCAATATGAAAAAAATTATTATTTCAACTTCCACCATGTTTTCATTACTACGGTGGCCAAACGTATGCAACCATATGATGGAGAAAAAATTGGAGCGATCAACTTTTGGCTTCTACGAATAACAAACTAACACCAATGTGAAATTTACCACAGTTGTCATAATATTCCATTTTAAAGACGAAACTTAAAATGACGTTTCTTTCGTAAATCTCCAGTACAATGTGAGCTCATTGTACTACACGGGTTCACAAAGTATTCCCCTCCAATTTATATAAGAGCGCTGAATCATCACGAGCTGTCTTAAATGCTGCAAAAAATTTCCTTAAGATGTCACAGAAAACAGGTGAAAAATACATGTCGTTACTCCTTGATCTTCGAAGATTTCGAAATTTTCATGATGAATAACATTTAAATCGAGGTTTCGAGTAAATTATGTAACGACTAAATCATTCCTACGTTTATCTAAAATTGAAAAATTGCTAGAAAATTTTAATTTATGCGGGAAAGCAAAAGCTGAGAAGCTCGGAACAAACTGTTGTCCCTGGTAATGACTGACGTTTTGACAAACGCAACAGACGTTTTTCTTTAATAGGAGTCTCCGCCAGACGGATCAAATAAGATCATCCACTCGCATAAATTAAGTCTGGCGGTACTTGTTTAAACGTCAAGATTTGATGACTTCGGTTTTAGGATTTTTTGTGTAAAAGCGATAAAAATAACCGAATTATGTATCAGGAAACGTGAAAATTTACGTATAAAATCTAATGATTTTACCCTTGTAAAATAATTAGAACTTACTCGCATCTTGTGTCTCCGTTGTGGTTTCCGGCGTTCTCTGCCGTTTTAAGCTTGTTTTGTTATCACCGTTATTCCAGTTATAATCTGACGTGTAAAATGTTCACATTTCGAAATATTCATAAATCGATCATATTTCGTTCCCCGTACTATTCTTACAACGTGTTCAAATTCTCAACGGTTTCTCTCGTAACTTAATACCGAGTCACACAACATATGGTGCTTTCATGAATTAATCCTTTGGTTTTACCGAAAAGTGAACTTTGGACGCCTGTGCTGGACCTGCAAATGATAAAACGTGAAGAAATTTTATCATCGGGAGGGTATATCGTGTCCTTCTGCAGGTCATCTACCTTATTCAAGTTTATAGCGGTCTTTCTACCTTAAAAGCAGATTCACCCGAGTCAACCCGCCTGGCACAAAGTTCCTCACAAGCCGAATAATTCCGTATTCTTATGATAAGTTCTGTTGAAATTTCTTTTTCACTTAGTGCGGAAGGTCATTATCAACATGGACAATTAACTTTTGTGCACGATGCATGTTACGATGCATCACGTTCAAGATTAGTTGAATTAAACTCAAGTTTGCAGCTTGGATCTTGTTTGTCACTTGACGATTTTACAAGGGTAATTGAAGGTCCGGGAATTGAAGGTCCTTGCAAATGATCTGTGAGGTTATGAAAAGACGCGGATCTTGTTTTTAGATAAAATAACGCAAGGAAATGATTTTTTGGGGGGGAAGACGTTCCGATATTACCTTTGGGCCATAGTTTTGTGTGAAAAAAGCAAAATTGTTAACTTATATTATTCTTTTTTTCTTCTTCTTCTTTACCACTGGAGCGTATGAATCTAGGTGATACTTATTTTTAACTTAAAATAGTCCAGCCTGCAGGTCACTTGAAACATCAAACTACCAAATTGTCAGCTTTTCTTGATAATGGATAACTTTTCGCTTCGAGAAGCGTCGACGTGTTTAGTACTGTTAACTCTTACCGGCGCTTTATGGAATCGTCCATTCGTCAGAGGTGAAAAATGCGGTCCCAATATACAAGGTAAGTAATCATAATTACTTTTGAACTTCCTGGTTAAAGACCATTTTCTTGTATGTATTTAAATATTTATGTATTCGTGTAATTATGTATGTATGAATGTGTGTACGTATGTAGAAATCTATCTATTTTATCTAACTATCTATTTACGTGTTTATACATTAAAATCCCCTGGAGAGGGATCTAATCACGAAACAGGCTTGTCGAGATAAAGCGTTGTCCCTTTGTTTTTTCCATAACTCAGTTCTTAAAT